GATTTGATGCACGTAAAATGCACCCAGAAAGTAGAGATCTTACAGCTTTCCTAACACCATTAGGACTGCTGCGATTAACAGCCTTGCCAATGGGCTATACAAATGCACCGGCAGAATTTCAGAAATGTACCAGCTTTGTACTGCAGGATGAAATTCCACACGTAGCCAATGTTTTCATAGATGACCTTCCAGTCAAAGGTCCACAAACTATCTATCCTGACAATAAAGGTAATCCCGAGGTCTTAGAAGAAAACCCAGGGATTAGACGATTTATTTGGGAACATGCAAATGATGTTCACCGTATCATGCACCGTATAAAAGACGTAGGTGCAACATTCTCCGCTACGAAAATTCAGTGTTGCCTTCCAGACGTCCTTATTGTAGGACAGCGCTGTACTCCGGAAGGAAGACTACCTGATACGAGAAAGTGTCCAAAATTCTCAACTGGCCAATTCCCACTACGATTAAAGAAGCCCGAGGATTTATGGGACTTTGTGGGACAGTTCGTATTTGGATACTAGGATTCTCTGAACTAGCAAAACCTATCACCCAACTTTGGAGAAAAGATGCCCCTTTTATTTGGGGAGATAAGCAAGATATTGCTTTCGAAACTTTGAAGGAACGTATATGTTCAGCACCAGCAATGAGAAGCATTGACTATACTTCTTCAAACCCCGTATATTTATCAGTTGATTCCAGCTTCATAGCTGTAGGAATCATCCTTTCGCAAGTAGACGATGAAGGACGACGACGTCCAGCACGATATGGTTCTTTACCTATGGGCGATGCAGAGTCACGATACTCTCAGCCCAAGTTAGAATTGTATGGACTTTTCAGAGCACTTCGACATTACCGACTTCACATCATTGGAGTTCAGAACCTCCATGTAGAAGTTGACGCAAAATATATCAAGGGCATGCTTAATGAGCCCGACCTACAACCAAATGCCACAATCAATAGATGGATTCAAGGAATTCTCCTATTTGATTTCACACTTCACCATGTACCAGCAACAAGTTTCAGAGGGCCTGATGGCTTATCTAGACGCCCTCTAGCTTCAGACGAAGAGATTATCCCTGAAGATGACTCTTGGTTAGACGAAATAGCCCTATTCACGTCAATCTCAAATTTCACTACACATCCATATAATCCCAATAACCTACCATCTATATTTTTGTCAGCTGCTGATCAAGAGCAGACTTTGACAGATATTTTCAAGTTCCTTACCACACTTGAAGCACCAAGTTTTGAAAGTACTGCTAAACGCAAGAAATTTGTCAAGCGTACAACTCGATTCTTTGTACAAAAGGGAAAGATGTACAAGCGTCTACCAGATAGACCCCCTTTGCTCGTTATTTTTGATCCTGATAAACGGCTGTCTATACTATCAGGAGCACATGAAGATTTAGGCCACAAAGGAGTTCAGTCTACCTTTGAGACTATTCGATATAGATTCTTCTGGCCACATATGTATACCGATGTTAAGCACCATGTACAATCTTGTCATGATTGTCAGATTCGAAGCACAAAGAAAATGCACATACATATCACAGTCTCTACACCTGCCACAATCTTCACAAAGATCTACATTGACATACTCAAGATGCCTGCCGGGAATGGTATGAAGCATCTAGTGTTAGCTCGAGATGATCTTTCACGATATGTAGAAGGAAGAGCATTACGATCTGCCTCCGCCAAAGCTATGGCCAAGTTTTTCTGGGAAGACTTGTATTGCCGATATGGAGCAATAGGGCAGATAGTCACCGATAATGGCTCCGAAGTCAAGGGAGCATTCCAAAATTTACTTCAACAAGTGGACATTCCACAGATTCAAATTTCACCCTACAACTCACAAGCAAATGGGGTAGTTGAACGTGGACACTTTAATATCAGAGAAGCAATAGTTAAAAGTTGTGAAAAGCACATCTCACGATGGCCTGAGAAGGTTCCTCAGGCACTCTTTGCTGAAAACATTACCACAAGCCGTGCAACCGGATTCTCACCTTTCTACCTATTACATGGAGTCCATCCTGTTCTACCTTTTGACCTTAGTGAAGCCACATTCCTTGTTGATGGATTTCACACGGATATGAATCCTGTCGATTTCCTCGCATTACGAATACGCCAAATTGAACGACGTCCTGAAGACTTGAGACGTGCCGCTAAGACATTAAAGAAGGCCAGATTTAAGTCCAAGCTTCAGTTTGAACAGAAATATCATCTGAGGATGCACAGAAAATCATTCGCACCAGGTGATCTTGTACTAGTCCGAAATACCCAAGTTGAGAAAGAACTGAATCGCAAAACTAAACCACGATACTTAGGACCCTTTGTTGTCGAGAGACAAACCAAAGGTGGATCCTACATTCTTAAAGAAATGAACGGAACTTTGTCTAGACGTGGTGTAGCCTCCTTTAGACTAATTCCGTATATAAGCCGAAATGATCCCACTCTACAATCAATTGCAGATACTCTTGATAATGGTCAAGACTCTGAGAAAAATTCATCAGGATCAGATTCAGATACTTCTTTCCTCTCAGAGGACGAATAACAAAACACATCACATCATGAACGGCAAAGACACCACAATAGAAAACCGAATTCAACAGAACATTGCAAGTTTATTTGACATCCTTTTAGAGGATTGCAATAAACTTCACGAGTACTTTATTTTTCAAGATATCAGAACCCATTATAATCAAATGATATACTTCTGGGATCACAATCACCAGGAAGCATTATCACAAATATGTCCTACATGTGCAGTATACTTCGAAATTTTCAGACTCCTAGATGAATGGCACCATCTTGTCAACCCAGAGAACAGATGGAGGAGTCACCAACATCATGATTAATAAAATGACATGACCTACCCTTCAACTGGGGACAGTTGCGATTTTTCGTTCGGGGTGGATGTCATGCATGGTATGTGATTCATACCATGTCAGATATATATAGAGAGTGATAAGGAAGATATGAGAGACTGTCTAGCCCTCTGTCACTGAGTTACCTTTCTATTTTTCCTTTATTTCATTGTCTTGTATTTTATTTCTCACTTTTCAGATTTATTTTACCTTGTATTTTTATGAGCATGTGACCTTCTGTTTATTTCTCATTATTTATTTTTATTTGGCTACTTTCAGCCACAGATTTGTTTGTCAAAGTTTTTGTATCTCTATTTATTTCTGACTGTTTATTTTTATTTGGCTTCTTTCAGCCACCAGATTTTATTTGTCAGCACATCATGTGACTGGGGAATATTCTGGTTTGTAACATTATTTAAGCTGACTCAACATGTTTAGTCATGATTGGTCATGCTTTGTAACAACATTCACATGACTCATCATGTTTTGTCATGATTTGTCATGCTTTGTAAATTCTTTGTAAGATTACACTGTATTTGTAATGTACTTAGTAATAAGCTGATTCATCATCTGGTTTGTAAGCCACATTCTTACCAATCCATCTGATAAATCATGCTTAGTAAGGGGGTTCCCAAAAGGTATAAAAGGACCCCATTTTCACCCATAAAATATAACTTCCCATTTTTCATTCTTCTCTCAAACCGTGTGAGAGTACGTAAGAATAAAAGTGCAGGCAACGTGCCTTGAAGTAAGACTAAGACACATCATTATTCTATTCTAAAGTTATATACTACCTTACAGGGGTTGACTATATAACTTTCATTATCGTTATTCTACTCTAGGTTATATACTACCTTACAGGGGTTGACTATATAACCATCGAACAGCTCTCATTCTAAGCTTTACGTGTATACATAAGACTCTCTCTTTCAACGGAAAGTGAGACACATATCTAAGGACGACAAAGTTGAAACAGACTTTCATAGGTTGAAACACGACCTACTAGGCTGAAACAAACCTAACGAATTTATCCAGAACACAGAACATTCCACAACACTTCGTATCAGACTACACAAGAAGAGGACAACAAACTAAATCCTCCCAAGAACTCACCACGTTACCTCCCACGAAGTAGAAAAGTCGGAGACCGTGGACTTAAGGACTGGCAAGAAGTCTTCCCTGTGTATAATTGTGTTGTCATTATACACAACTTTTATATAAGACCCTTAAGTAACAAGACAACGCGTGATTTCAGTAAAGGTCATCGTCAACACGCGGGAAGAAATTCCCAAAAAACTGAAAAAAGTGCCCGCAGCTGCGGGCACTTTTTTTGCATCTGAGGAAATTTGTTTCCACGGTCCAAAGATATGTCATACTTTCTTTCTTCGAATTTGACTCACCCTAGCAAATATCTTGGACGGCCTAGAAACAATGCGTACTTGCCCTCCTTGCACCTCAGGCCTCATTGCCCTCTTCCTCACATTGTTACCCTCCTCTCGGCACCTTGTTACCCTCCTGCGCACCTCATTGACCTCCTCTTGGCACCTTGTTACCCTCCTGCGCACCTCATTGACCTCCTCTCGGCACCTTGTTACCCTCCTGTGCACCTCATTACCCTCCTCTCGGCACCTTGTTACCCTCCTCCTGTGCACTTGTTGCCCTCCTTTTTCAATTTTTTTTGGGAATTTCTTCCCATGTGTCACATGGCTTTGCGACAAGCTGTCTGGCATCTGTAATATGTATGGTCTTTGTGCACGTAAGTTGATGGGCATTCTTCTCGCCATGACTCCAACTAAATCCCTCAACACTCGTAAAGCTCAACTTGTTTCCTCTGGCCTTGGGCAACACTTCGTAAGCCCAAGGAAAGCCAGGGATAGGAGGAAAACTCAAACACTCGTTGAGTTGCCTGGCGCACAACTCAAGCGTCGTCGGCTACTTGCTCAAATGCAACGACTCTTGGATCATGCACCCTCCCAAACAGGGTCTTCTCCTTGTACCGTGTTAGGAGGTCATGCTGATGAAGTCAACAAGATGAACATTCTGGACGACTTGGATTTCACAGGCGCTGAAGTTGAAATGTCAGGGGAGTCATTTTCTGACAGGCCTGCAACCTTGGGGAGCAATTCACACAAGCGACGTGTTCTCCCCGATAACCCGACAAATATATTATACAATAACTGGCGAAAGCTCATACCTACACTCGTGGACCCGCATTTGAAGTATTATGCCCGAACTATTGGTCAAGGCTTGGACAAGCCCCACAAAGTGATCTCAGCATGTGCAACTCTCTCCTGCGCACAGAAAAAGACTGATTTATTGTGTCTATTCTTTGACAGTAAGTACTCATGCTTTCAGCCCACCTGATGATCTAACGAACGTCAAACACATCAACAGGATTTGAATCGATTGAAGTACTGAGCTGTGAATGCTCCAGCCTTCCGCAGGTCCTCCTTCATCATGGGCTGTTCCCTACCGCACCTTTACAACCTCGTATGGCAGTATCTGTTGATCTACTCTCCTTTTATCGCGCACTTTTCGAGCGCTCTTGTGATGCAATCAATGCTCTCGCATCGGCTCTCAAAACGCACTATTCACGCAGAGGTTTTCAAGTTACTGACTCGGAGGTAAGACATATTCATATGAGATATCACATCACTGAACTAGCCCCAAGGGTGAAATCGTGCAGGACCCATTTCGTCGTGGTCTAGGCCATGCTGTACAGTGGTATGATATCCTACAAGTCGAAATCGAACAGCAAGTGGACACAGTCCTCCAACACAGCCGAGACTGTGTGGCTATTCACCGACCACCCCAACCACCTACTGTAACCAGGAATGAAAGTTCAGCATCAACTATTTTGCACTTTGCCCGATGTGCACCACTTCTCGCTCAGCGCTGCCCAGCATGCTTTGGTGGGACACTGTATGGGAGGCCCATTGATCAAGGCGCGGACATACATGTTGCTACAGATGGGAATTTTCATCATCGCCACCGACGTTCTGCGGGTGATTGTCCTCACTTCTATGAACCGACTTACTTCCTTTCAAAACAGTTTGTTGATGCAGTTGGACGCCGAATTGATGGACAACGTAAGCGACCTCCGAAGCAACACACATCCCTCGTACCTGATGAAGCTATCGACCAATGCGAGAATGCATATGAAGCAGCTGATGGGAAGAAACAAAAAACTGCAATGGACAGCTTCGACGACACGGGAATCATGGCCCTCATCTGCCGTCATGATATTCCCTTATTTTTTGCTAACATTGATTCTCCGGGCGAACAGCAGAAATATTCGGTAGCGCTGATAGAACATCTGTTCACATTACTCCCTTCTCAAGCCACGGTTGTTACCCTCTATGATGTAGGTTGTGTTCTCGCTCGGTCCCTCTCAAAGGTATGTACACAATTGTAATCAGATTTATTACTAATTAGTTTTAGTTCGAGATTCTCCCCCCTGATGTTGTATCATGTCTGCGCTTTGCGACTACGGCTATGCATGCCTATGGTCATGAATGGGCCTGTCAGCTGGTGCACAATCCACGGATGTGTATAGGCCTTGGCTTATCTGACAGCGAGGGGACTGAGCGGCTGTGGTCACGGTTTGTTCGGTTGATTGGTGTAGAAAGGTCATCATCAGTACGTTACATTATATTACATTTAACAACATACTAACTACCTTGAGTCATTTAGCGCCAACGCCGTCTGTGGTTAATTGACCGCCAAGCAACTGTGATAGGATCAGAAATGAAAGCAGACCTCGGAGACTGGATCAAACACCGTCTCAAGCGGGGCATCAATGCCCAGAGCTCTGCTGCCCTCGACATTATCAATCACTGTGAAACGTCTGTGGAGGACCTACAGGCTCAGTGGGCTCACCAACGACAATCTCAGCTCTTGATTCGCGCTCGTGAGTTAGCCCATAGTATACACACAATGAGTACTTATGTTGGATGTTTCTAGATGCTCCTGCTCGTCTCAAGAAGGAGCTGGATACTGTTCTCGCTCTACAAGCTGACTTGGATGTGTCAGATCGAGCCCTGCAGACTACTAGGACTATGCTGGAGAAGGAGGCATCATCCGATGACACCTTCAATGTCCTTGCGAGCCTACAAAGGGGCCACGATCGTCTAATGACTAAAGTCGAAGCATTATACTCTTCTCTTAATGTTCAGGATAGATTCCCCGAGCTTGACGGAGTCAATCTCAACTTCGTCCAGGTCCTTCTTATGGCACGTGATCTTAAGATAAATATTCGAAAGCGTGCTATTGCCAGCTTTTTTGAATGGGATAAGCTTGATCGTGCTGTAGGTGGATCCCACCAAGCATTAGGTAACCCTTCATGTATGACCGTTCCTCCATTCTAACCTTATTGTTCAGGGACAAAGCTTCACCAACACACTTGCAAAGCTATAGCGAAACGCCAACCTGCTCTCATGACAGCAATTAGAAAATTCAATTCTTACTGTGAGCGCTTAGAGTCGCTTTACAATCCTGCTTGGAATGTCCCGCTTCCTACTCCCCTCCCGACAAAATTAGCTGAACTACGTGCTGACCAGACGTTAATGCAAGATGTCTGGGTTACACCCACGATTGGAGACGTACCTCGATGGTTGGAAGACTCAGACGTTAGGGACGGAATTCGTGCCCTTCTTAAACGTGACCGGTGCAGGGAGGAGTAAAAACGCTTAGGCATGGAGGCTGACAATTTGTGTCGCTTCTTTGAAGAAGAGCTGACAGCATTGGAGCTTTCGATTCGATTGTCCCAAAGTATGTATGGTTCCCACTTAATCATTCAAGGTTTCATTGACGAAATTTCTTATTTATAGATGAGCGCTTCCTCGTTCCATTAGAACAGAGGCGCTCACATTTTCTCAAACTTAAGGTGCGATGGTCAAATGCACTAGCATCTTCGGTTCGATTTAGCAGCCGTGCAAAAGAGGCACTAAACAGGGCTATAATTTACTCTGGAGGTACTCATGGTACCCCTCTTCATTTGACGAGTGTGATAGTGCAGGATCCTGTTCCGGAGGATGAGCCACTACTGCCCGAGGCAGATGACCCCATAGAGGTTGAGCCAGAGCAAGCTGCACTTGCCGACATTCTGGAGGGTCATAGTGCTGGAGCGGATTTCAATGAGGATCAAGACTTAGTGTCTAATGTTTGTGCTGACATGGTCTGGGATTGCCCTGAGGTACGTCAATATCGTTGATAGGCCAAATATCACTAATGTATTGGCAGGGTCTCCTAATTGATGACTTCTGCGTCCCATCTCAAGACTTGCATGTCATTGTGCCTGGACGCATAGTAACTAGAACCACATCATCAACTGGAGCCTTCCCCTCCCAAGTGTTCGAGCCGAGAGACATAACTTTTCTCACTCATCCAACCGCATTCCTCAATGATGTGTGTATTAACGGTTGCGCTGTCCTTCTACAAATGGATATGCCAAATCCTGCCGTGGCTGTCTTCTCTACGCATGATCTTCCTCGCATCTGCTATAATGCAGCTGACGATATGCTCTGGCGCAATACATCATCCACACGTTATTGGGAGAAAGATGTGTGGGTTCTTCCTATTCATAGACCATCTGGTGTTGGGCATTGGGTCGTTTGCGTAATCTACTTGTCAAGAAAAGAGCTTCATCTCTTTGATAGTCTAGCTGAACGGAAACCATGGAAACAGGATGTCAAAGTCGGTTTCCTTCAACTTTCATCCGATGCTCACTTTGATAGATTTGCAGGATATCATGAAACTCATCTGTCAACTTCTGATGGTGGCACGTCAACGAAATAAGAACGTTCACATTGACATGGATAGATGGGTAGCTCGCCCATTGACCGTAAGTTCAATAACATTTCTCTCCTCTTAGCCCTCCGTTTTTGATGATGCACGCAGGTCAAACCTCTTCAGACTAATGGTTATGATTGTGGTGTATGGGTATTAGCAACAGTCATTGCTGTCCTATGTGGACGACATCTTACGCAACTCCGAGAGGATGAAATGAGTGATCTTTGATATTATCTACGATCTCGCATACTTTCTATACCACTATTCTAGCATGCATGTAGGTTCAAGCCAAGTTGAATTAGTGTAGTATGATGTCTAGACATATGGATTCTTCCCAGCAATTAGCAAGTCCTTCTCCGTTTGATAATTCACGATCCTTCGTGCTACCCACTGGCGGTAGCATTCAGCCATGATCTTATGTCTTGCACATGCTTGAAAGTGGGAGACACAAGTATGAAGCTCATCCCAGCGTGAAATCAAACTCTTCTGCACCTCTCGAATCTCCTCAAGAACCCTGTCACTCTCTCCCATATTATACATGGCTGTGCGGTGTGCGCAAGATTCCCTTTCAACCTGCAAATGTCGTCCATGCATCACATCGACAAGATTATGAGTAAAACACTCTTCCTCTGGTGAGTCAGGTGGATCGGGGAAATCGTAAGGAGGTGATTTGTCCCATTGCAAGAGGTCAGATTCGTCGATCAAGTTTGAACCAGCAAGAGATTGGTGAAAGAGATAAGAATGGGGCAGGGGGAGAGCCGCAAATTGAAACAAGGAGGATGTCAGAGGTGCTTCAGACTGGATCTTGAATGTACGAGGTCCACGTCGACCATTACACTTGGCGTAGGCACAAGCATTCTGAGCTTGCCTCATCATTTTACCTCTGTAATAGTGAAAACTTGTGAATCAGACCTGGACAAGAGTTGTATAATGCTTACCGTTGTGACTGAGAATATGATTCTCTGTGTCGTTGTGAGGCATCCGCTTTCTTGTCTAATGTAAAGTACTTTGCTCGTCGGCCCATGATGATTGTGATAAGCAGATGAATTGTAAAAATGGTCCCTAACAAGATCACGGTTGTTGTGAAGTCCATACTACTGGCACATTGTGCTGCATTGGAGAAATAGAATACAGCCAATGATTGACTGTGGTGTTCTTGTTCAAAATTTGGTATTAATACAATGGGGCGTGCTGCTAGAGTTCATGAGGCTAGTTCAGACACCTTGAATGCTAGTGAATGCCCGTATGTTTGTCTTTTTAATTCAGTATGATGTATATATTCAAGCTCATTGGCTTACAGATGGTTTCCACCTCGCAGGAGGCTCCCAGTAGCCTCAATGCCAAGCCTCCAGGCAAACTGATAGCCCTCTTGGGTGCTTGGTGCTACTGATACTACATTATTCCATGCTCATTTACTAGTTTGGTAAGGGCACCAGGAAAATGCTGCGACTGCTGCAGTATTTGCTGGCACGACACAACGAGTATGCTACTAAGTACATAGCACCTAGAGTGGATTGACCTCCCGCTGGAAGAGCGGCCACAGCTTATTCCCAGGGAAAACTGGACATGGCCAAAATGGTTGAGATCAAGCGGAATATGACGAATTTAGAAGCACCATATTTCACTATAGGAGACTCGCCGTGGAGACAAATAGAATATTTCGCATCTGTTGCAATCTTCTCGAATGTTGTAGGATATGTTAAGAATATTGATATCATATTTCAGCATATTTCAATCGAGTTCCACTGGTACGACAAAATCGGTTGTATTCGGGTGAAATATGCTATAATCTACTGATACAAATGCTTCGACCTACGACCAGAAAACACGATATAGGATGATGGTGATAGAACTAGCACGACAGTGTAAAGCAGGCAACCTCGACGGCAGCAAAAGAACAGGAGCGACATGGACAGGCGAGGAGGGAGACAATCGGGAGGAAACCGGCAGGCAATAGCAAAAGAACAGGAGCGATGTGGAGTGAGACAGGCGAGCACAGGTAATTTGGAAGCGACCAGCAGGCGATGGCAGGAATGATGTAGACAGTAGAGGAGTTAGACGAGCGAGCAGGCGGCAGTGGGCAAATAGCTTGAATAGGCCGGGCAAGTTAATACATGGGACCATTGACGACTTCGCTGTTCTTCGTCCAGCGCCCTACTTTTTCCTAAGAAGTCTCAGCGACTTGATAATATGAGTAGCAAGGCTGTACTTACAAGTTCTCTAGCCTCCCTATCATAAGACTGTGGACAGAAGTGTCAGTAGAATGAAAGGATATGGTATCGAGGACGGTAGTGGTTGTCGGTACAGGTGCCAGCTTCAAGTTCGAACTTGGAACAGTCTCGGAGTCATTAGACTGGACAACATAAAGAAGAGTTCCACTTACTGAGCATACAACCTTTGTTATGATACATACGGTGATAACATACTTAAATCGAAGATTCATACAATCTGCTGAGGAAGTTGGCGACAGTAGGAGGATGACGACTTGGCAGGAAGATGATGTTATGAGGAGAAGTAGGAAAAATAGGGTTGCCCCAATGAATTATAACTTTGGGGTGAATGATGTCACAAACTCTGCGCAAACAAAAGAGTACGTACTATAGCTAGCCGTTGTGCGATAGTATGTGATGCAGCACGATGTGAAGTAGTCGATGAATTGCATAGCAGAAGTGCATGCGGTGCACGTGCGTCGTGCGAGCGCTTGACAAACTTTAGTGCGATTGACAACGCAATGGCCGCAGTGTGCGCATCAAATCGACAACGATGTAATGTTTTTACGATGCGATGTGTAGACGATCGTGTCGTTGAAGATTACACAATATTATAGCATAAATTATATGTCTAAACAATATTCCGCTTGATCTCAACCATTTTGGCCATGTCCAGTTTTCCCTGGGGCTCACCTCCGAGTCAAGACCTGTCAAGACCACTGTCACAATTCGGAGGTCACCGGTGTCACCACAGCTATATACAGTTGACAGCCAACTCTAACGCCATGATGTCACGGGACAGTGATATACCCTGCTTCGATCACGGGTCATCGTACATATTCTTTTCGAGTTTTCTCGACAATAAAATAGACTAAATTCAACATTAGTTACACAGTATTGACAGTCTTCTCGCCTTGCAATGTAGATTGAATCCTCGAACTTCTCTGCTCACCGCTTCCTGAC